CGAGTAGCGGAGCAGCCAGCGTAGGGCTCGGCTCGGCTCGTAAACGAGATCATCGTGAAATCGCGGCTCGTTGCAGTTGGGCAGTCGCAGCCTCTCGCCACTCACGTAACCATCGCCAGTGCCTCCCGAGCGTCGGTGTCCCGCGAGTGTTCTCTCGGAGAAGAGAAGAAGAGGAAGAGAAGGAGGCTGGAGGTGGAGGCGGAGGTGAAGGAAGGCAGTCTGAGAGAGAGAGAGAGAGAGAGAGAGAGAGAGAGAGAGAGCGCCAAGTCTTTGATAGGAGGCGAGCTCGTGCATATGCGTGCTCAAGCGAGCGTCGGATGTCGCGGAGCTGCGCCGCTGACCGCTCCGCGACGAGGACCTCGCCGGGGACCGCCGGCGACGACCTAATCTCCGGAGCACAGATCGAGTCTTGTTACGGGGTTTGAGGCAAAGTCAGCGTCGGCGGTGACAACGACAGCGACAGGAGCAACGGCGGCGGCGGCGGCGGCGGCGGCGGCGGCGGCGGCGGCGGCGGCGGCGGCGGCGGCGGCGGCGGCGGCGGCGGCGGCGGCGGCGGCGGCGGCGGCGGCGGCAGCGACGGCAGCGACGGCACAGCCGGAGAAGTGAGCGCGTTCGTAATAACGGGCTGGTATATTTCGTGGTGCACGGTGTTTAGATAAGTGTGGAAGTGTGGATACCTTGGACTGCACGCCGGCGCCGGCGCTGCCACCGCGGCGTCCACCCCGGCCAAGCAGCAGCAACAGCAGCACAAGCCCAGGGACAGGAGGTGCCAGCGCCAGGCAGCAGCAGCAGCAGCAGCAGCAGCAACAACACCATCAACACCAGCACCAACACCAGAATCAGCACCAGCACCAGCATCAGCATCAGCACCAGCACCAGCACCAGCACAAGCATCAGCATCAGCATCAGCATCAGCATCAGCATCAGCATCAGCACCAGCAACAACAACATCAACACCAAAGCCATCGCCACCAAGAGCAACAGAAGCAGCAACAGCGGCTGCTTATCGCTGCTGCTAAGCCGCTGTTAACGCCGCCCAGCTACCCAGCGCCACCCCGGCCGCCCAGTCGAAACGGTAAGGAGCCCGAGCTTTATTTATTATTGCGCTTAGTGAATGGCTAATGAATGCGACTCTCGAAAGCGCATTCGTCGACGCTCGATCAAGTCCCGCATCCGCTATTCGCCCTGATTTCACGAGTTGACTTTCGTAATCCGCTCGGCCACCCACCCGATTCACCTCACCGACTCTTCTTCCTTCCGCTCGATCTTGCCTTCCCACCTCCCTCGATCCAAAGCGCCTCATTAAACTAAAATAAAATGGGGCGCGCGGATTCGTTAAGCTCTGTCGTTTGTACGTGTGAGCTCGTAACGGTTCTAGACGGATCTCGTACTACATTGATTACGGCATCGAGGAGGCATTTCCAAAAATTTTAACGATTAACTCGGTTGACCGGGGATTGACATCGCGCGAGAGTTAAAATGACGATCGGCGATCCTATCTGTCCCAGCCATCGAATCGAGGAGGAATGACGTGGATGCGGAAAAACAGCTTGACGTAGTATTGGATCGTGCGGCTGATCTTATCAACGCGGCAGGCACTCGACCTGCCCAAAACTGTATAAATTTACAATAATTACGAGGCGATTGTGACGTGTAGAGCGAAATCTAAATCCCACTTTGAGCGTAAAGTAAGTAAGTAGTATTGTAGAATGCCTAACGGAAGGCATTTTTTGTCAGTGTGCTCGTATTTCATTATACGCATTGTCGTTGTTCGCTTACCCACGCGCACGCACGCACGCACGCACGGTCGATCAATTTGCCAATTTGTTCATAGATTCGTCGATAAATATATCGAGAGCAGAATTTTTTCAACAACCACTAGTCGAGGTGCCACTACATTAATACAATTGACCATTAGCCAGGCGATTTATAAATAGTTAATTGTCAATTATAGGACGATTAGCTCGCTCCCGCTATTTACTAAAATTAAAAGGAAAGGAAGCGTCAAATGAGAGTCAATAGCGCGCAACGCAAGGTTAAATTCCTCCTTTAAAGTCCATTGACCTTGGCACACCATAAAATTAAAATCCAATTAATTCAAGGACTCCCAAAGTCGTTCTAATGCAATTATATTATATGGTAGTGTGCGTGTTTGGAAAGTAAATTTTAAAAAAATCAGAGCTCGAAGGAGCTTTGGAATTTGGTGAAAATAAGGTGGAAATAAGGTGGAAATAAGGTGGAAAATAGCCCAGACCTACGACAATAAATGGCTAAGGGGATAGGACGATAAGACGAAACTACAATACACCTAATTACAATACACATTGACTAATTGACACATTGACACATTGACACTTTGACGATTTCCAAACATCCATATATCCTACATGCGATAGTCATGAATTTTTCTAATCCAGTCATCACCAGTACTTTTTTTATTATTCGTTAAAGAATTGGCGAAGTAAATTTTCTCATAAGATCTTTCGTTAGAGCATAGGGGATAAGCTATTATGCGAGCTTACGTAAACCAGAGCAATAATTAATCAATCAGCAATAATTTACTTTAAGACTAGTTGCATCGTGAGGGCGCTTGAAAGGATCTCGCATTTCTCGCAGACATGCCCATGAAAATGCAAACAAAGTGTCCCGGGCAAGTAGCCGTGCGCGAGCATGGACGCGACGAGCGATGTCCTCCTCCACGCTCGTCGAACAATCGCCGCAAAACTGAATTGCGAAGCGCGACAGGCGCACGTGCGAGTCCAATACAATAATAAAAGGACTTTCCTCGGGCAAGAAGCGCGCGTCCCTCGTCCTTCATCCAAGCCGCGGGTCGCATCGCATCGCATCGCATCGCATCGCATCGCATCGCATCGCATCGCGTCGCGTCGTCTCGCATCGCCTCGCCTCGTACGTCGCACGTCGCACGTCGCACGTCGCACGTCGCACGTCGCGAGGCGCACGTCGCAAGAAAGACACACGTCGTCACACGGCGCCAAGAGAGAACCAGTTTTTCCTGGTCCGGGTGAAAAATCAATAAGCGCGAGGCAGAGGGGCGAGTTTCATTCATCGGCGGGGTCGAGCGCGCGACCGGTAAGGCAGAGAGTCTCGAGCCCGGCCAAGCGAGATACTATAATGGAGGTCGGGCCTCAGTCATTGAATGAAAACCGGTGACCGGGGCAGACCGGTGAGTTTGCCGAAGCGGTGAGGGGAGAAGGTCGGGGGAGGGGTGAGAGAGCGAGAGGAGGGGGGGGGGGGGGGGGGATTGGGTGGGGGGGGGAGAAGGAGGTAACGAGACGAAGGGCGAGGGGTGTCCTCGCGCATAGAAAGTTCGCGAGAAAGTTGCTAGCGAGCGGGGTTTCCGGGGCCGTGCTGACAACCCGTTGAAATCCCCCGGCCGTCGCTTCTCCTCCTTCATGAATGAAAGTGGCGTCCCTGCGCGCACCGTTTCCTCGCTCTCCAGCTCTTTATGAAATTCCGAAAACGCCACGGGTTACGCTACGACAGAGACTCTGTCCAATGTGCTATGCATCGCGAGATTCTCCAGCGCGGCTTTTTTCTTCTTCGCGCCTCTAATTTAGGCATTTTTGCTCGTGCGTTCTATCGAGCTGTTATAATCATTGACAGCCGATGGGCCTAATTAGGTATAATTATGTTCATTAAATCCGCCTTGCTATTTTTAATCGATAAGCTCTCTCGTTACTTTCTCGTTCGCTTCCAATGTCAAATCGCGCGACCCTCCCACAACCTCCTCCCTCATGGCTTCTTCCGTGCCCCCCTCCCCCCTCCCCCTCCCCCCACACACACAACCCGCCAA